TTTTCCTTGGTCTGGAGTAGCAAATGGGCTAAGCCAAACTATAGAGAACGGATGGCCAAATACTGCTTTCATGTTCATCCATTTTGTTTTTTTAGCCCATCTTCTCTCTTCTTTTTTCAATTGTTCTATTCCCTGAAAACAGAAATATGACATTTTCAGTCAGGAGGTTGTTTTTTAGTTCTGATTTCGGGGAAAAGGATCCCTCTTGTCTATCCTTTATCAAATGGCTGAAGCAGGAAACCCTGAACATTTTCAAAATAGTTTTTTTTTAAATGGACAGAGAAACAAAAAGCAAAACCATAACAATTTATGATTAGGTGAAAACCACACAGCCATAAGGAAAATGTTAGAAAATGCCATAATATCCAGAAAAGCACTCAATATGGTCTTCTTTACGTCTATATGACCCCCATATTACCCCTCATCCAACAACTCTCAGGTTCTCTCTCCATAAGCAACTTCAGGAAGTGCTCCAGCATCAGCACCACTTCCAGAATCCCACAGAATGCTTCTAATCAGCAAGGTTCAGGCTGTCAGCAAGGAAAAGACTTGCAGGATAAAGTTTAAGCATGCTGACAGTGAGAAAGGAACAATATTAAGTAAAGATGAGAAGGAGAATTAACATAGGCCTTTCAAATTCTAATTGTTGAATGCTTCAATATTATCAGCATGTGTTTGAGATAAAAATCATGACTAAACAAGAAAGGTGCCATCACATTTTTCACCCTATTAGAGAAAGTGTATTGATTCTTTTTTCCTCTTTAAGGCCACTTTTTCATACTGACATTCAGAAATTTTGAAGGGGCAGAGTAGGTCACACCATTAATCTCTGTGTGTCAGCCAAATATTTTATTGTATGTGACTAATAACTATGACAAACAAACCTTTAAAATATCATGCTGTAACAGAATATACAATAGGAGGTCTCTGTGTGTCAGAGAGGGCATTAAATACAAATGAAAAGAAAAACCTAGAAAGAATAAATTCAATTGTAGAATAGGGAACATGAGGGCAGAACATGAGCAGTCTCAGCAATTTAGCACACGGAACACACCACCGCTGTGCTCCTGACTGAATGGGGAACTTCCAAGACAGAAATGCTTTTGTGAGAACACCAAGAAATAAAGTTGCAGTGAGGGCTGATTTTAATTACCTAGAGAATAAGTGTACATTCAGGTTGTGACAAAGAAAATATTTCCATATGCAGCAAATTACTCTGCCTTAGGAAGGTCAAGAAGCCAACGGAAAGGTCTCATCAGTGACCAAATCTGGCATGAGACATAAATGTTGCTTAACCATGTGGACACTGACCATAACACTAGAAAATCTCACATATACCCGAGAGGGAAATTGTCAGTAAAGTCCATAGCAGTCAAACTTAATTTCAGAAAAAGTAATTTGTTTAAAAAAAGAGTGTTAGTTAAAAAGGAGGCTGAAGCAATTATGTCCAATGGAGATCAGGGTGATGTTTTCTGAGCTAACTGACAAATACAAGTCACAGGGTCTGGATTCACATGTAAATATGAAGTGCCTTATTTGTATAAAGAATAAGCTTTTTACAAAATCAAATTGATTGTCAACACCATGTATTAAAGGACGGCAGAAAATTACACATCAGTCAATCTATCTTCTGAGTCAGAGAAGATAAAATTATTATGCATAGTGAAGGATAAACCCATGCTGGTGGTAGAACTGTAAGGCCTTTGCAAAGACAAGCTGGGCTTCACCAACCTTTCAGAATTCTTTGGAGTGTCATCAAGCATGAAGGTAGGGAGTTGACTGAATAGATATTGGCTGCATTCAAATGTAACAGCAAACCCTAGCCTGTTGTTGAAAGTAGGCATGGACATCTGGTTTGCGTACTTCCTCTTCTCCTTTGGACTTGCATAAGAAGAGGGGGATATAGGTTCCCAGTGCTACTGAATGAACCACAGTTTACAGCTTTGCTTGAATCTGACCAACTACATATAATACAAAGCAGGAACCCAAATCAGATCAAAGCATGGTTTGAGATGCTAACTTACAAGTAAACTCCACTTAGTACAGAACACTTAGCTGTGATTTGCCAAATAAATGGTTCAGCATCTGTAAGCCACCCAGAAAACCCTTGGGTTAAGGGCGGCATAGAAGTAAAATGAAATAATAAATAAATAATAAATAGTGTTCACAGTGGAGTTAATAGCTTGTATTTTTAAAACTCCTTAGAAGTTATCTGCAATCAGGTAGACCTAGCAAACAGAATGTACCAGGTTATTCCAGATTGTGAAATCCAAAGCGGACTGAAAGATCTCTGAAGAATCTCTCTAAAATTCTTTAGAGGGTATCAACATGGCAAATGAGGTATATGCAAACATTTTTATCCTCATATAAGTTCAAATTCCACAATTAGGCAATACCTTTAGTAAAGCTAACAAAAATGCCACAAATCTATGCCAACTTTTCAGTTCTCCAAAACGCTCTCCAAAACCATATCAGATGGCATAGAAAGCAGGACATGAGGTAAGAAAAAGAAAAATCTGAACATCTGGCCAGATGTTTTAGCCATGTGGACAGCAATTCATTCAGATCCAACTTCAAAATGGAGATTTCCAGTCTAAATAAATTAGTATTACAGATATCAGATCAGATCTAGCAATGCACTCTGGGGCAGAGAAACAATGACTGATCTCCACTTCCAGAAACAAAAAAGCCAAGTGTAACTCAGATCTACCTCTTGTTTTGAATAAAATACAATTCCTTGAGTCAGCAAAGAGAGGAAGTACCAAGTAACTTGACAGTTCTCGTATTAGTAAAGCTGGAGATTAATTTTAGGTGGTTCTGTAGGTAAAACTTCACATATACACTGATGAGATTGGAATTACCTGTGACTACTCAGAAAAGTGAGACTAATGCTGTGGTGACCAGCTAAATGAAAATGTCAGCTCCATGTACAGAAAGGAAAAAGAGGAGGGAAAGAAAGGGAAAACCTGAATACAGGAAAGGAATGCAAGTTCCAGTAGTGGAGGAACAGTCTCTCCCCCTTGGCAATATAATCCTCTGGCAAGAGCTAGAGCCCCATATATGGTTTCCTCATACCTGTATGGTTTTCTTTTAAAAAATATTGTTGGGAACATTTCTGAAATTTTCTTTGGACTGGGAAATGTACCCAAATGGTTGGTAGGTAAATTAAGATACTATCTATGCTTACAAGTGAGAGGATTAAAAACTTTATTTAATAGAGTTCTCAAGATATGACAGGACAACCAACCATCGACAACTGCCAAATGTTGGTTGTTATGTCGTGTGAACCCAGTGTGGGCTACCCATAACCCACTGCCAGCTGCATGTATCCTAGTAAACATGGATAGAATAAGCCACTGTTTTCAATGAAATTTACCCAGAAGTGCACACACACCAATCTTAAGCATGTTTACACAGAATTAAATCCCACTGGGCTCAATGGGGATTGTTCCAAATAGATAGTATTTAGGACTGCTGCCTTAATCGCTTATGATTGCACTGTACATTAACTTTAGCTGAGTGAACTTAGAGATATTCCTAAAAGGGTGGCAAAGATATATTAACTGATGACATGACAGACTCCACCCCAGTGTATACAGTTTTAGGCATATATGAACCTACTTATAGAAAGAATTTTCTTCCTGAAACACAGCACTTTCCTTCCAAGTAAACAACAAAAAATGATTATTTGGTGGTATGGAAGGCTCTTTGCAGAAGCTAATAAACATTGCTCATACCCCAACTACAATTAAAATGTCATGAATAGCTGTATGACAACTATTTTTGGAATGAAGATCAACAAATGAAAGAAATCTTCCTTTTGGTTTATGGAACAAAACAAGTAGAAGACAGAAATGGCCCAACTTGCTTATCTCTTTTCTGGCTCTTCCACAAAGTCAGACAAGTTGGTCAGATTGCAAAAAGCTAAAAATTTTCCATTGGGAAGGAGCAAAATTAGAAGGGCAAATGACTATTTCTCTGTATGCTCATCAAAACACACAGACTTATCCCTTATGTCACACAGGAATTATTAGGGGAAGCTTGACCACCTTAACAGCTCTCCTGTGGACATTCTCAGTGAAACCTGATACTCTGCTGAAACAGAACTTGATGATTCTCCATTAAAAGGGGCAAAAGAGAGCACCTTAAGATATTTTTTATTTATTTATTTAAAACATTTCTATGCCGTCCTTTGCATAGCCTCAAAGGACAGCTTTTTTACCTAGGTACAGTTATCTTCAAATAATTTTTTAACCTGTTTTATATATAACTCTAACCCAGAGTTTATTTAACCCCATGGGTTGCTGAATTCAGAGCTGATGTGCTGTGCAAATCTAACTGCGCTAACCACAAACAACCCAAAAAGTGGACCCATTATTTACTGCTGGGTTGTGAACTCTGGATTGTTTAGTCACAGCTTGTTGACATGTGTGAAGTCAGAACCATTATTTACCAATTGTTCTGTCAAGCTACAGAGGAGGTAAGTAAAAATGATAAAAAATATTTGCTGTTCTACATGCCAAAATACAGCACCACAAAGTCATTTGAGATTATTGGGAGTGGGCAAAGGAGCAAGAATCAACCTATGAACTGAGAAAACAAATCATATTTTGTTTTCATGGACAAACCCTTGATAGGTCAAAAACTCACGGGTTAAACAAAACATGGGTTAGTGCTATGAGCACTCTCCACCACATTTCTCCTATCATCTTTGCTTGCCACTGCAAATTTGGTTCCTGGAATGACAACACCCATAACAATTCCAGACTCCACCATGTGTGTGAGATTCTCTGTTCCGTGGAGTGATAGAACATCACAAGGTAATTCCAATTACCACTTATAAAAACTTTTTTCACAAGTGTCGTATTTTCATTCTCATGCATGCCCTTACTGACTTTTGGAGTATGTTGACTATTTCTGAAAGTTTTCTCACATTGATTGTTACCTAGCAAGGTAAGGAAGGCAAAAACCTAATGATTTTTATAAAAGAAAGTACTCACCGTTTCATCAGTGCAGATGGAGTGTACTTGAGTTCCAAACATTACAGACGTGAAGATGAGAAAGAGAAGAGCCTCAAAACACAGGAGAATGAGAAGGATCACAGTAGTTGGTGGAGAGAAAGAACTGCATTCTGTAAAAACAATATGACAAAGCTTTAAATATCCTAACAGAAACTGAGCCAATGGATTATTATTGAAATGTTAAGTACTTAAAAGCAGTTTATAAAACAGACAGAACTTACAAGAATAGATATACAGTATTTTTTCCCTGAGTTATATCATGCCTTTTTCTGGGGTCTAGCTATAGCCTACAGATATCCTAAGGTAATTTGTGGAGGCCCTTCTCCAAGTTCCTCTTCATTCTGACACTTTAGAGGGTATACTAGGGAGAGCTTTATTGGTGGCAGCCCCCTTTCCCATTTTGGAGCACTCTGTCCAGGGAAATTTGCCAGGTGCCAACATAGTTTTCTCTCCATTGCAAGGTTCAACCTCTCCTTTTAAATCTTTGCTCTTTTAATGCCATCCATATGTTGGTCTTTTAATTTGCATTTACTTCTTGGTTCATTTTATCCTGCTTGTACTATTCTGGGTTTGCAATGTTTTTTTTTTTACCATGCTGGCTTTATATAAACTTTTCTATTTCACTACAGTGAAATACAATACAATACATGCACGCACACACAATATAAACATATTACTTTATGGCTTTTAGTTTTTATTAACTGATTCTACTTTACCACCATACAGTGCCTGGAAAAAAAATATAGGCACCATATAAATATCATAAATTAATTCACAGAAGAATTTTTGTTGGCATTGTACACCAAATGTGCATATGACTTAAAAATAAATCTGCCTAGCTGCCATGGAAAAGGATGCAAGAAATTAAGAGGCAATTTTTAGTAATACTGTTTTGAGAACTGAAGATTCAGGCTGTGATGACCCACAGGTCCCTTTTTCAATTAAGCGCCACTCCAGGGGTTTGACCTAGCTTTCACCATGTGCATTCTGTCATCTAGAGATAAAACATTTGTAGCATCATAAAAGGGACAGTCTGCATGGCAATGAAATGGCAGGGGGGCATTACTTCTGGACACAGCTGAAAGTCCACCGTCAGCATAGGGTGCTTTGATTACAAATGGCCAGATTCTTCAAGAAAGTAAAGTAGCACTACTCCTGTCTCCCTTTCCCAATCCACGTACTACATACAGGTGAACCTGTACTAGAAGCAACAGCCAACCAAAGATGTATAGAAGGAAGGAGGGATAAAAATCTCGTACACCTTAATTCTTCAGTATTTTTTCTGACCATTATGATAGGCTCTCAAATGAGGACTATACAACCTGGAAAGTCAATGGTACCAAACCTCACCTCGTATGTCTACATGGTTTTGTTTGTTTTTGAAGCAGGAATTGATCTTTACTCCTACAAATATGTATGCATGTACACACACACACACACACAAACACAAATTAATACTCTTATATACCTGTTAAATAAATTTACTAAAACAGTGTATTATAAGAGACAATCACAGTAAAGTACAATTAGAAATATCAGTTTCAGCATGTAAGTCTCTGAAAAAGTGACCAGCAGTGTATCTGATCAAACAAAAAAAGTGATTTGGAAAAGCCTGGGAGTGAAGAAGTGTCTGCAGCGTAATCTCTCCAGCATGCTTTTACTCAAGGGAAGGGGAAACTTTCTGGGCAGCCACCTGTTGAGCCAAGGTGCATGCTGGATGACCAGAAGGGCCTCCTTAAAGACCAGAAGCATGAGCAGGGAAGGGATGAGGCAGCCTTTCAAACTCTGGCATTCAGAGACCTTAAGTCCAGGCTATTTTAAAGCCAAATGTTTGCTTTATTTTGTCCAATTCACAACAGCCCTGAGAGGTTAGAATGCAAAACTGTGATTCAACATGGCTCATGCTGCTTTGATGACCAAGGGCACAATCCTAAGCAGGTTCAGACATAGCAGAGGCATGCTGGAAATTGAATGACTTTCTTCTGTCAAAACATGCAAAGCCTAGAAGTTCATCTACTATTGATTTATATCCACTCCAGCTGTGTTTTGGACCTTTGCTAGGGATTGAAACAACCGTTATCACCCTGGTAGATTATGTTTGCTGGTTGGATAAATGGTGGTGAGTAGATCCTCCAGGACTTTTCAGCAATGTATAAAACCATCCATCAAGGTTATCATTCTTCCAGGTTGTCTTGCCTGGAAGAGTCTGGAGGCTCCCACTGTTCTTCATGGTCTCCAGAAACATCTCCCAGAAGTCCATGGTCTTTTCATTATGTTACATTTGTGTTGCAGGTATTATTTCTATTTGATTGCCTTCCTGATCTGATACAGTGTTTTTATTTTTTAAATGTTTGCATAGAAAAGTAGGGGAAAAGGAACGGGCAGTATCCAAGCTGACAGTAGCACTACCATTAATTACTGTGTAAAAGCAAAAACAACGTTCAGTGCAATGCCAAAAATGCTAATTGTTAGTTTTTCTCTGGAAAACCCAGTAAGTCAGCTAATATTATTGGTATTGCACAAGAAGATGCTTTTGCTTGCCCAAAGTAATTTACATGAGTGCTTGCTTCAGCTTGGATATTGCCCAGTATGATATTAGTCACATTGTGCAGATTAAACCTGAAAGGGTCAAGTCAGTACTGCAGCAGGATGTGAGCCAACTCTTTGCGCCTGAAAATGCTGCTGCTTTGGCAATGCCTGCAGAGAGCAATTCTTTTTATCTAAGGTAAGAAGACATTCTTTCTCGACATGTTACTAATTTGGAAAGAAAATAATTGTGCCCAGTTAGTTTAGAAAGCTTTACATTTGTTTGTACTCACTTGTCCAGTCTTCTTCAAAGCAATACAGGAAGTGAAATCCAACCATGATAAGGGCATGCAGGGAAATTAGTGCTATATACATCTGAAACAACACAATTTTGAACTGTTAAGAAACACAGCTTTGCAGATGGGAACTTTACATACACAGTGTGCAAAATACACTGAGAAGAGTTTCTAGCAATGCCATGTTGAGACGCAATGATTTCATAGGAATTTATCCCAGAGATTCCTCAACTGCTTGGACTCTACGTCTAATTGAAGTACTATAATCAACAGATAACATCTTCTACCTACTAAACCATACATACATACAGAATCTATACCCTGGAATCTGAGACGTGCATTCTCTGTATGTCCTTTCTTTAGCTGAAATTTCTCCCAGAGATTTCAAAGAAGTTGTTCTGCAACCTTACAAAAGTAGCGTATACTTACAAAAACTTAAGTGCGCATTCTGTAGTCAGAATAAATAAGTATGAATGTACATGCCAGTTTTCTCCTTCCAAGGAGCTCAAGACAGCTCACATAATTCTTCTCCTCCTCCTTTCAATTTTGTCCTCACAGCAACCTCAGCCATGGAGCCAACTGGGTGACTTTGGGCCTGTCACAGACTCTCAGCCCAACAGGATTGCTGTTGTGGAGATAAGACTGAGAGCAGGAGAATGATGTGCGCCCTTTTGAGTTCTTTAAAAGAAAAAAGGCAGGATATAAATATAACAAATAAACAACCCACACTGTGAGCTAGGTTGGGCTGAGAGTCTGTGACTAGGCCATGAGCTCCATGGCGAATGGAGAACAGAAGGAAGATCACCTGAGTCCCAGTCCTGCACTCTTAACCACTATGTCTCTTTAGCTTTCAGGCAGTTGTTAACACATTACTATGTGAACAAATAATCCTGAGCTAAAGTTATTCATACTAAGATATAACTGCTTATAGCATTTTCATTTCAGTGCCAGGCCAAAACCTTTTCATTTTCCATTATTTTAAATGTTAGTCGTGTTTTAAGATTGATTTTATATATTCTCTGGATGCTGTATCTTATATTTTATTGCATTACTGCCCTGAGACATTGTGAAGGGCAGAATATAAAAGCTTTAAATATAGATAGATAGATAGATAGATAGATAGATAGATAAAAGACTGTAGCTAAACTATGCTATGCACAGCTTTTTTCAAGCAAGTCCCCTGAATAGAGCAGAATTCTGAGTAAATATGCAGATGACTGGCAGGCCTGCACATTGGATCACAGTGCACCATAACAAACTGAAGCTATATTGCACCATGCAACAGAGTTAAGGTTCAGCTTCGGGTTTTAGACAGGGTTGGGCTGTTAATCTAATAAAACTAAACTAAACTAGTATTTTTCTTTAACTGCTGAAGTTTCTTAAGGAGGCCATCCTTATAGTGCATGTTTCCACCTGAGTTTTTTTGTGTCACGCCACTGTAACATTTGCTCCGCCAGACAGTTTCCCTCCACAGTTACTCTGCCATTCTCTTATGTTCGCAGGAATCTTTTTGTAAGAAAAGCACACACCCAGTGTCCCACTCACAGCAGGGGAAGGCAATAATGAAGATTTTAATAACCTCCAGGTTGGCTTGCCAGTTTTTAGCTGGAGCTGAAATCCAAGCTACAGCATTCAGTATAGATAAACTTTAGCTGTGATTAAAGATTTCCTTATCTTCAGCCTCATCTCTTAAATCACTTCAGCCAGACAATGAACAGGCCAGTGGAAAATACCTGGGCTAAATGAACTGACTGAAGAAGAGGTCCATTTTTTTCCTCTAACAATACTGAATTATGCAATAGTAGGAAAAGGAAATGTAGCCTTCCATTAAATATGGTATATGCCATGTGATAAAGGCAGGTTCCTACCAAGTCCGAGGAAAGATACTAAAAATATGCTAACAACTTGTTTATTCTAATCATAGAATTAAAATTGGAAAACGCCAGAGGCACTCTAGCCTGACATACCCTGCACAACAGGCAAGAGTGCCACTACTCCTCTTGTCCAAACTCAAGCCAGTGTGTATCTGCGAACACAGCAGTGCTTAAGTGTCATGTCTGTACATGGAACAAAACACACCTAAAGCCAAAAGCACCACGTGATTCAAGCCACAGAGCCAGAAGGCGCATGACTAGGGAAGGCAAAGCACTAAGTCTTCAACTGCACAGAGGATTACCATTATCTCAGTATTTTCTCACTTTTAAAATCCCTGCTATAATTGACACCCTCACTTTGGTGCTATATTATTTAGTCATGTCTCACTGCCCTTTTATTAAGTAAACCGGACCATTCTGACTGCGGTAGATAGTATTTGATGTTAAGCAAAAACAGCAGCGGATGAAGTAGCCAGTCTTCAAAACTTCCAGAGTATTTGATATGTAGAATAAAGTGAATGGCTGATAATGTACACTTAGATGGATGGATTTTAATTTTAATTACTTTGCTTCAAATGTTTTGCAACAGTAATATATTTTTTCTCCCCCAGAAGAATAACATGGTAATTATTTGACCAGGTAACCACAGAAATTGAGCAAGTCCCACCTGAAGTGACAAAGAATGCTTGAACTTCTATACAAAACACTCATTCAGTGAAGTACTTACTGTAAACAGTACAAAGTACTTCTGGTTATTCTCTCCTACACAGTTGTTGACCCATGGACAGTGGTGATCCATTTTCCGTATACATCTCTTACAAACACTGAAAGAAAAACAAAAGGAACACACAAATCATAAACTGAAATGGAATCTTGTCCCTTCAAAAAAAATCTACTCTTCTACTCTTATTAGATCACAGGAAAAAAAATCCCCTTTACCAAAACCTCCTTCACCTTTCAAGTTACCTAAGCTGAGGTCACATTATTTTAGATACACAACATCATTCATAATTGAATAAATATCAGCTGGATTTGTAGCAGCATTAATAAGTGATGAACTCTGCTGAAGTGCCTTTATCTCATTCAGTCACAACTGTTCTGATTGCAGTATCTGAATCAGAGAATTCTAATTTGATTCTGCTTTGTGCTAAGTCGAAAAAGGACAACTTCTACTGCTAGATATCCACCAATTTTTGAAGATCTGCATGTTTCAAATTAACATAATACTGCCATTTAGTTATACGAACGGCTCTCATGGGCTATACTTGTGACATTTTGGTGTATTATGGCCTGTTGTCTCTCATTCATCCTTCCTTGGCTGTGTAAAGACATTTGAAATTAGGGAGCAGACAGTAGCAGTTCTTGCAGGGCAAGTTCTAATTCCTTTTACTTTTTCTGCTCCTGCATCACACACACCTGGCTCCACATCAACTACAGATAGCTTTCTCTCCTTTCATGCTTTAGACAGACTGTCCACTCCATTTTTTTCTTTGCACAAGTCCCTATATGTTATAAGCTCAATTATCTCTTGACACCACACAGAATTTTTAGAACCTTGAAAACTGATGTGGGATGTGGCTTTGTGACAGACACAAGGAACAACTAAGTAGGGTTCTGTGCAGCCCTGCTGCAATAATTTGAGTAGAGTGTTTTATCATTAACACAAAGCTTTGTCAATCATGACAGCGCATATCCTGATTCTGCTCCAAAATCAGGAAGGCACATGAGCCTGATCCAGGTCAGACAACAGTATGCCTTTCAGAGATGTAGAGACACATACACTTCAGTGGACTAACTACTGAAATTATTTCTGCTTACACTCTGTCTCTCCCTCTCTTACACACATACAGACACTTAGACCTCAAGGAGTCATACAGGAGTTAGACCTCAAGCTACCATTTGCCACAGTAAGTTAGAGCATTTTTAAGCTGCAAATTATACATGGAAAACTAACACATCATCACAAAGGGAAAGGGAAAGGCAGTCAGCACAGTAAATGCAGCTCACCCAACAGTGACGTAAGTCCGTAACAAATGTGTCAATACTACCTGCAGTGATGTGCTCTGTCTGGTTTGATACTACAGCATTTTGGACATTTGTAAACTACTTGTCCTGGCTTCAGCTGTAAACTTTCTATGAACTCTTTTGTGGCATTCCCTTTGGGCACTGCACCCTGGAAAAGAAATTAAGGCATTTTAGAATGTTTTTGTCATCAACAGGAAAGTCAATAGGATGCTTGTTAGAGAATGGTTGTACAGAAACAGTGGAATTTGCTAGATCCATTAGCTAAGTTTTATATGCTTAAACAGGAAACTGATGAACTGGCATTAATGGAAGTTCAATTGTTTCAAAAGATGGAAATGTCTATATGCTGTTTACTTCCTGAAGTACAACAGGCAGATAGTCCCTATGAGGAAAATGGGAAGAAAAGGTAATGATTGTTTACTGAATGTACTGAATACACAACAAGGAGATAGCAGGTTTAAAACTACACTTCGGAGAGAATTTCATAGCTATAAGTAGTAGTACATTAATGGTACAAACAATCTGGGAAAGTTCTGCAGCATCCTATTTAGGACACTTTATAGCCTGTCCAATGTCAGTATTTTCATTGTCTTGAGATTTAACAGGTGCTACAGTCAAATATAGGCTTTTCCAACCAGATGTCCTCCATGTGTGTTGAACTACACCACCCATAATCCTCAACCATTCTGAGAGCCAAAGTGGCTATGGAGGACAATATATAAAGAACTGTATAAACAAACAAAAAAACCAGCAGGCTCACTGGGTGGGAATGATGGGAGTTGTAGCTGAATATGCCAAGGGCACTGAATCGGGGAATGCTGTATTATTATTAACAGGGATAATGTATTATAGGAGGTCAGTAAGCCTTACAGAAGATGTGCTTTCAGATCAAAGAGGGTGCTATTTCATCATCAGATAAATGAGACTATCTAAATTCAGCACCTTGGAGCCAAAGGGAAAGCAACTGAGTTGCCACCAAGATAGTGAATCTCCCTTGAAAGCCCTTCTTGGAGGATGTTTTTGCTAATCCTGAGACCCATCTGTCACAATCTTTCCAAATTGTAGGAATCTGAGCAATCCCATGGCTCTTTAGCAGCCTACAAGATTGCTCTGCCCTTATAAGAGAATGGAGTATGAAATATTGCAGGTAAAGGGATGGGCTTTGATTATGCTTATGCCTCACTGGGTTCAGCTAGCAGATAGTTGGACTGGGTTATTCCCTTTGTTTCATTTCTGTTACTATCTAGCACTCTGAAGTCCCTAGATAACATTATTTGGAGATAATCCAGATAGTCATGTGCACAGAATTCAAAACTGATAAGCAAAATGAGGCAGCTGCTTACTTACCTTCATTTCAAACCCACTAAGGCTTGAAACAGTACCTTGAAAAGGTCCATAGTTTAAATAAGCCAATGCACATCTCAGTAACCAACTAGCAGCAAAGAGGGCAAATATTTTTATTCAAAACACAGTTTGGTTGAACTGATAGTTCTTTTAAGAGACCAGCACACAATACATGTGTGCTTTTCATGCCATGACCCAAAAGCAACATTACCAGTACTACTGAAGAAGGAAAAAATGGATAGACTGCTCTCCTCCCAACTTGTTCTTTGTGTTCTCTCCTCCTTTACTTATTCAAAGAATCCCTCCTGAGCTGGCTTAGGGTCATCAAGCAGCTTCTTAATGGAATAACACACCACACTACTTTATTAATTACTTAGGGTACAATCCAATGAGGCTGCCCATAGGGAAGAGTATGGGCATCCCATGGAAGGTGAAAAAAGCATGGAAGTGAAGGCCACCTGCACATTCCTTCCATCCTGCAAAACATTTGCATGCCCAGTTTGGATTGTCTAAGTGCAGCACCTCAGAAGAGAAAAGGAGGATACCATGTGTCTTGGTGGCGCCAGTCTCTTCTTCACCCTAGTCCCCAAGGCCCTTCTCCAAGGTGGCTTTTGTGTCCTTGCAGGTACAACCAGTGCAGATCTTCCTGCACCAGCTGTGGGGCAGGGAGGACATTTTTCAGCCTGACAGCTGGAGATCCCAGCAATCCCAGGTACCTTCTAGCAGTCCCAGGATTGCTCTCGTAATATATCAACTGAGTTCTTGCTCCCCAAAGGTTTTTATAGAAATCCTGCAACTTGAGTAATATGTGTACCCTTGAGATTCAAGATTATTTGGCCCCTAAATTGTCCCAACAGAACAAGGAAGATGACAGCTGGTTAATACAGTCAGGGGGAAACTTACTGGATCTGTTATCATAGCTCGCATATGTGAAGCCAGAGCCAGGAAAGCCAATGCGTTGAAAACTGTTCCATTGATCACACTGTAAATATAGTCTCTTGATGGAAGCAGCATAACCAGGATGACTACAAAGTCTGCATAGAAGACCAAAAACCAAGTGATGACTGCGCAGGCGATCCCACAGCCATCTCGAATAAACCACATTGTTCCTGAGGAACCACTGCTAGGAGGTGGAACACACTTGTCTGGTTGAAGGTATTCAGGTTTCCTCTCAATATCTCTGAAGCGGTGGACTGGAGTAATCATCATAGGTTATAATGTCCATTCTTGGATCTGAAAAATATATACATTTTTTAAAAATGGCTCTCCATTTTACAAATGTAACCAAGTAGCTTCCCTTTTGACATGCAGCTTGCAGAGGGAATTCTAGAGAAAATGAGATTAAAATAAAAGGGGGATCAGTAATGGAGGAAACAGATTCAATAAACAAGAAAATGTTAGTGGTGACTTTTTATTTATATACCCTTTGCCAACCAAAAGATATTTTGGCAGCTTATATTAAGGGTCATATCTGTATGTATAAAAATAGTTTCTTATCAAATTTGGAAGGGAAAGCATTAAAATGGTTTAAGAACTCAATACTGCCTGTTAGTGGCATTTAAATATGTCTAGGGATGACACTTGTTAATCTATCAGTCCATATGCACACATACAAACTTCAAGTTCTACTCCCAAGAAACAAATTATCTTTCTTCAGAATAGGTATGCTACATTGTTAATTATATAATTCCATTATGAAAATGAGGCTAGCACATAAATTAAAAAGTCCACAAATTAAAAATTAAAATTATACTTGGTAACACTCACACATATACAATTGTTGTTGTATTGTTTTTTGCTTGTTAAATATGATTATTTTGTTGTTTCTATGTATATTTTTAAATCTGTGAACTGCCCAGAAAGCCCAAATGTATAAAAGTGGTATAAAAGTGTGGTGGTGGTGGTGATAATTTAGTACACTTGAAAATGTCTGAATTATTGGAATTCCTATTTCCATATTAATTTGACATAATTATTATTTTAAAATTAAAGGGTAAATAAGAAATTATATTTGGGAAGAAAGACAGTAGCTTAGCATAAATTACAATTTAGCTACTTTTAGAATTAAACTGACTTCTAGAATTAAACTCTTACATTAGAAGCCTTAGAAACTGAGTTTTTCCTCTACCCATTTTCTTTCCACCCTCCACTACAACATGAAAGGGACTTAAGTTTGAATTGCAAAAGCCATGAGAAATGCTTTTAGCATCACCTTGCAGGACTGAATTCAGTTGGTACTGTAGGGCACAGGTGGTAACCATAGGTGGTGTTTTCATCATATACCTGAATTGGGTTCCCATTCCCCACCAGGTGCCCAGTGGTGAACAGGAACAGTGAGGACAAGGCTCCTCCCCAACCTTTCTGGACACGTTTAGAAATTAGAGAAACTGCTGTGGGCACCACCACATAATGCCTAATCAGCACTTCGGCATCCTCCTGCCACATCTATGCATCTTAGGCTGTGCCCTATGTAGCAATAACTTGTTTGGTATCTATAGGACACTACAATGGCACTTTAATCATGCATTCTCTAATTTGGCTTGTTGGCAGTGCAACGCACCTAATGTTTCTTCTAAACAGATGTAACACATATAACTGCTTCGTTTTGGGAGTATCTTATTAGACAGATACACTTTGCACTGGAGCACTCTTTAATATTCACTGAGCCACACACTCTAAAATTGTTTACTCGCTTCACTGAAATTAACAATTTGACAGCATAAATGGATTCTCTACACTCTTTTGACAGTTAAATGACTGATATTACAACACTGGAAGAATAAACACTCACCTCCCACAATGCAACAGACAAACTATCAACACTTTCAATATACGAACAAATGGTATACAAACATCACTTTCAAATGGACACTTATTTAGAGGTTTGTTCCATTTTGTTGAAGCCTATGTTTCACTGACAGAAAGTTGCGTACATTTTCTAAAATATTTTTAATGGATTTGTATAGAATGAGCAGGGGGAGATCATTTCCAGTGCTCAGGATACCATGTGCCCTCTCCCCCAACACACACACTGGGATTTCTGCATCACCCCATTTCAGTTTTGGAGGTCCCTAAAACCAGCAGTGCTTCAGGTCGCAGCCACAATGACCCACATGTCCCATTCTTTAAGCCACAGTATTGAACCTCTTTGTGCCAAGGGCCGAACTCTTTTTCAGAGAAGCTCTCAGGGCCACATTCCATGGGTGAGCAGGATCAAAGGCAAAAGAGTTGGGGTCAGGAACCCCACAATATTTAAGCATACAGCTCTTCCTGGCAATAACTAAGCCTTACAAGCGACATCTCAACCTTTTGAAAAATACACAAAAGCCACCAAACAATTGATGATTGTGGGAAAAGCATTAATTACTATTGCTATTATTATTTCATTGCATTTATATCCTGCTTTTTTCCTCTTGCAAGAAACACAGGTGCCTGACATAGCTCCATTTTATCTTCACAACAACCCTGCAAGGTAGGCTAGCTTGCGAGGGAGTAACTGTCCCAAAGTCACCCAGTGTGCTTTCAAGTCTCCAGTCCAGCACTATACCACACCACAATAATATGGCCTTTTAAGGAAAACTGGAGGACTGAATTAGGCCCCTAAGCCTGAGATTTTCCAGCCCTACTTTAAGCCAACTAGTCAGTTTGAGTCATATCTGCAACTCCTTCACCAAATCACCAACAGATAACAAACCTCAAGGAAACTGAGGTTCTGTTTTTTCTCCTTCTGACTCAGAGGCAAAACTTAACAGCCTCTACAAAGCCAATGAGGGTAACTGAAAGCTTACCAATCTTGTTTGACCAGATGCAACAGAAGGATAAAGTGGGTGGAAAAGCGAAGCCTCTCAAACCCTTGCGTCTCCTCTTAAAAACTATTATCTGCGTTAGCTCTACAGTGGCAATCTACTTATTGGTACTTTTAAATACTTCCGTGGTGTTAACTCTTAAAGTGAGAAGCGTATTTACTTTGTGGTTTGAAGTACATCACCATGGCTCAATCCTGGCTGAAATGTTTGGGATCTCACATTAGAGCTCTTTGGAGAACAAGAAGGGCTGTGATATTGTGGCTGTCTACCTTGTGCTTGAAGGACAAGCAGTCTTTAATCAAATAATGCAGTTATGAAACACGACAGCTTATTTTACTGAAGGGAAAAAGGTAACAGAAGCCTTGGCAGGAGTGCTGTTGTTAGCACTTTGATCTTTGGAACAGAGCTGGGCAGTGTCCATTGAATGTAATATTTCAACTCTAAATGGCCACAAATGCCAAGATAGCTATTGACTAATTGAAAGTGGCTTAAGTATGACTGAAATAACAATTCACTTTTTAAACTGAGAAATCAGTGTGGCTTTTTCAGCTTGACAATCACCTACAGAGCACCTAAAAACACCTGACAACTGTTTATCACCAAGCAAATTTTAAATCTATATGAAATGTGTACATGACAACAACACAGCGATTTTAATTAATAAAATTATTCCTCTATCCAAAAGGACTGGGAAATTGGAATTACACTTAAATGTTCACATCTCCCCACAAAAACAAAGGAAAGGAAAGCTAATCATGTGAAGATTGAGATTTTTAGAAATTACCACTAAAACTACCAGCAATCTTTTGAGGAATGCTGCCAAAAGGAAAATCCCTTAAAACAATCCTGGTTATGGTATTAACTGTGCTTCTTCAATTATGTTTTGAGTAAGTTTCTTATTTTATTTTTCTAATTTCCATACTAACCAATAGCTGAAGCTTTTTGGGAAGTTTACAACATAAATTTGGTCAGTTAAAAAGTAAGTATATATAATTAAGACTATTTTACATGTTAGAGAAGAAGATGGGTCTCCACACTTCCACCATGACTTGGACATGTCTTTTCTGTAATATTTAATGGGCATTCATTTTTCTGGAAAGTATCAAAAATATTTGAGTAGTTTTGGTCCTATGTGGCTTTCACATACAGGTTTACTTTATGTTTTCAAACACTCAGAAATACTAAGATAAAGCATGGCCAGTCGTGGCATAAACAGAGGGACCCAGTTTCACTGCTAAGATATGTACGAGTAGTAGCTAAAAATAGGGTGACTTGGTGTAAAATGCACTGTACTGATTGATATAGTACCTGAATCCATAAACACATACACCACAGTGTTCCACTTACATCTGAACTCTAACTGAACAAGAACCACAATAATGTAAAATGTCAGGTGTTAACAACAAATTCATTGTGTCGCTTGAGAAAAATCCATAAATACAATCATAGTCAGGACAGAAGTCTTGATTTACAATTAGACAATGCCCAAAATTGAGTGGGTGAATAAAATGAGTTCAATGTGTTAAGTTTTTAATCTGTATGATTAACCGTTCTTTATAGGAACAAGGCTTTATCTCAGGCTTCCCCAACTTGATGCCCCCCAGATGTTTTTGATTACAAAATGTCTATTTCTGGAGGCAAGATACATATTTTTATTACAAGCTTAACTGCAACTCTGAATTCATCAAGAACATTTGAGTGTCCGCCATTCAGACCCAATGACTAATTGTTAGTATTTGCTGCATTTGATTAAGAAATTCAGTGCCATTCCGGAAAAAGCAGCTCAGGACTGGGTATCTAATGTCTTCCCTATTGAAGACAAATGTAGAGAAATTGGATTAGTTCTGTATAATCTGCCTTGGTGGTCCTTTCATAGCACTGCTTTCTAATAGCTGTATTCCTAGACCCATTTCCTGCTTCTGAAGAAGTATTTGCAAATATAACTTTAACCATTTGCTTGCTTTATTATGTTTGCCTTAACATAATTTGTAGCCTTTTAAATAAGTATTAGGGCAAGAAGGCCACTTTCAAATGGAAGACATTTAGCTTCCTCAACTTTGTGCCAGAGTAAATTAAAAAAAATGCAATCTTTTAACAACGAAAAACACAGTTTTAGATATTGAATTTAGATTTTGTTTTCTAAAAGTCTACTTTCTTTTAAAATAGCCTGATTAAAGTTAAATCTGAATACTAAGTTAAATAAGTAATTCCTGAAAACTAAATCAGTATTTTTCCATCAAATACATAGTATTAAAGGCTGCTTTTCTATGCAATTAAATAATTATACGTTTTTGATGCCAAGCATTATATGGTACAAGAGATCATATAATATATTACAGACCTGATACTATGAACAAGTAACAAGTAATTCTAGACAGTGAGATGTGGCAATAATTTCCAAGATACAGCAAACTTGTATATTACAAG